GCTAGTCAATAGCATGATAACCGAATTCCTTCCTAAAACATAATCAACCATTTTCTAAGAAAAAGTATTTCGATAGTGCTAGTGAGAAATAAACATCGTCTGTCTTCATCATGCAAATGACTGTTGAGACTACTATTTCCTCCTGAAAAAACCTGCTTATATAATCTTCAAAACAGATTGTTTTTCTGAGATACAAAAACAAACTTCCTGATGGAGTAAAGCAGTCCATGGAGGTGGTGCCAACAAAATTTAGCAATCCATCAAATGTAACCTTGATTGTGCATCTCCAGCTGCCATATATCCGTCATTTTCGGTAACTATATGTTACACCTCAAGAGAAAGAGAATGGATTTTTGTGTGGTATATTTTCCCCTTGATAGGTGACAAGATTCCCCTATGGCACCATAGGTGACGTACGCAAACAAAACTTATGGAAAATATGCTAAGCTGGCTTTTACTTGAGCAAAACCGAGTCTATATTCGTTGTAAATTGACTAGCAGAAAAGGATTCAATGTGTAACAAATATCAAACAAAATAATAAACAAAATTCTGGTAGTTACTGGTTTTCACTGAGAATGATTTCACAGACATGTCAATAAAGTAACTAGCGCATTTAAGTACCTAACTAAGTAGGCTCACCTCCTATTATCTCATCGATGGAATGTCAAAAATAAACGACGTACATGAAAATGAAAATATCAGCGGCTGTAAAATGACATAAAATAGAAAGAAAAGGAAACAAAGATATTCATATTAAGACTAAAACTGTGGTTGATTGATTTAGGGAGATGACTACCGACCAAAGGACCACGGGCTAGAACCCCCCTCCACCTACCAGTTAGGGCAGCTATAATTAGTCCTCACACAATAGCTGTGGCTCATTGCCTACCGCACGAATGTGGACAAGGTTCCTGAGTGGGTGCATGCATATCGAAATTTTTTAATAACGCACAGACGCGTTTGTACTGTCTTAATCAATAATGTGCCACATCATCCCGTCTATAACCCCACTGACTTTGACTGGTAGGTGGATTCTACCCAAGAAGTCTACACTTCTACCCACAAAGCTCAAGTTTAGTTTGGACCTCACTTCATAATTTCAGGATGAAACCCTCTAAAGCTAAGCGATTAGGGTTATCACAACCAGACTATTCCTGCTTCTGAGGTATCTTTCGGACTGACATAATCATTAAGTAAGGAATTTGAAGATAGTGAACTCAAAACTCCAGGTAAAAAGTGACATAAATAACTCAAAACCATGTTAAACGCTCATCGAATAGCTATACCGCTAAGCTGACTCCATCCAACCCGACCACTAGCTGTTACCTTGACGTGGTAGTCAGGATTGTATATCACAATAATCCAACGAGCCATGTTGGCCAAATGCTTGTTTTCTTGAGGTAATGCAACACCAGAAAGGCCTGTTAGATAGTGTTACGACGAAAAGCAATTACTGTTGTGGTGTAACTTAGTGCACTACAGCGGTAATCTGAGGCCAAAGTCACACCGCTGATAGCTGGAAGCAGTGTGACAGCAGTAGGGTGTTTTTCATGCATGACCAACACTGCCACACTAACGCTGTCTTCTCAAAGGAAATTGGGGTTCGACAACATTGGCTTCGAAATGAACACATTCCAACACGCTCTATGATCCACCGGTGCCGGCGGTGTGGGTTTTCTTTATTCAGTGCTAGAACAACATAACCTCGAAACAACAACCCACAAAAGGTTGAGTGTGACAGGTCTCAACTCGACGCCCAATAGGCTCTGCGGTCACATAAATCTTTTTCTTTCAGGTACAAAAAAAGAAACACCCTTCAACGTTCTGGGACTCCATGAAGTGTTAAACACGCGCACCTACCACTAGCACACAAGACCCAATCAAACAAAACCTATAATCTTCAACTCCGTCTCCCAATTTGCCCTCATCTCCTGGTACAAATACTAAGCCTCCAACACATCCATACATCCATCAAGATCAACATAGGACCAGGCATTACTGCGTAACAGTCCGAGTTGCTACACCTCATATCAGTACATCAAGTAAAAAGGCAGTGAAGTGGAAGTTGAAGAAAAGAAAAGAAATCACATCAAAATAAATATAAAGTACGAAAAGATAGAAATGATGGACGAGAGAATGGTGAGATTCGGTATAGTGTCCTTAAGATGAGGATAATGTGTATATACATCTGCGTCACCGACACACGTTTCTCAGCCATATCACCTAGAGTCTCCAACCACTGCTTCCTCTTGTCCCACAAACCCCAACCACCTAGTCTGCATCGACTCACATGGCTTAAACCAAAAGTTAAAGACTTCATACATTGGTGTCATGTTTTCGTCTGGCCACCTCGGACCTTTTGCCAGTCTGAACCTACTTCGGACAACATTGTGTGACGAGGCAGTCGGCGAATAGGCATACGTAACGCGTGTCCCAACCATCTCAGTCAATGAAGGTTCACAACATCGTCAACCGACTTACCTCTTCTCCCTAAAACTCTACTCCTGGTCCTGACTTCTGCGCCACTCACGTGGTGACACCACGAATACGACCTATACTACGAAGACAACGATGGTCAAACACCTGAAGCCAGCCTTCTCGTGTCTTCCACCTTCAATGGAGATGAAGAGCGAAAGCAACTCAAGAGCAAGTTCACCACGAATTCTCACGATGATTACGAGGAGTGGTGGGTGGCGAAAGCGAGACGGATCGAGAAGGTATCAGCGTTAGGTGACAACAAGCCACTGTTTAGGCTTACTAAGGTTCCCCGCAAAAAAAGACGATGGTGAGTGAAACCATGATTGAAAAAGACTGGACCTTGACTACCTCCTAAGACAGGCGGCTAGAACATCAGGAAGAACACTTTCAATCACAGTTCAACCGGTTCCCGCAACACTACAGTTGCTGGACATCCACCCTGAACGTCAACAGCACGTATATGTTGATCCTCCAACTCTCCTTGAAGTTGAGAAAGTTTCATCAAACCTGAAACGATAAAATGCAGCAGGACCTGACTGTTTACCACCTGAAGGTTTCAAGGATGGAGGTAGGAAATTGCTGATTGTAGTGTGTAGGAATCAGTTGTCCCGTCAGACTGGTTTAGTTCACTGATCATCCCAGTCTATAAGAAGGGAGAGAAATCTTGTGACAATCATAAAGAAACTAGTTTAACCAATTTGTTTGACTCATGTGTCCAAGATCCTAGGGCCCGTAGCTATCCAGCACCTAATTGGTGCTCAAGAACAGCAAACTCGAGGAAACTAGGCAGGTTTCACACCCATACGACGAGGCTGCATCAATCAGATTCCCATCCTACGACGGGTTTGGGAACACAGGCATACTTACCCGCGGTTGACACTTCCCATATTTATTGGCCTCAAGCCAGTATTCGATTGTGTCGACTGTGAAGTGTTGTGGCCGTGTCTAACCGTGAAAGGAGTACCGAACAAGTACATAACGCTAATGAAAGCTCTCTACTAGAACTCACGCAGCCATGTCAGGGCTTATGGAGAGTTGTCTTCAGAATTGACGACAACTGGTGGTGTCCACCAGGAATACCCACTTCGTCACACATGTGCTAATGGACGTCACCTTAGGTACGTCTGACTTCACAAGAATTGACTTGGTTGACTTGGAATATGCAAACGACATTGTCCTACTAGGCGAAGACGCTGACGAAATGCAGGGTCTTGTGAACGCGTTGAGTAGGAATTCGAATACGTTTGGCTAGCATGCGTCTCACACCTCTCAAATGTAAGATAGTGGTCCAGGACCGGTCTTCTAAAATCTCTTCTAGTTTAATGATAGGGAGACAAGCGGGTGAATGCGTCGACCACTCCACTTACACGAGGAGTTGCATCAGCTGGTTGGTGACGAAAGCTCATCTCGGATACAGAAGGCCTGTTAGGCATTCGCCAACTTGCGACACCTGTGGCGGTGACTGGAGAGATACCGGACCATCTATCACAGGACGAGTATGATGCGCTCGTTTGTTCTGCTCTTTAGTACAGCGGTGCAAAATGGCCATCAAAAGTGGAAGACATACAGTGGTTACAGGGTTTGATATTATTTTTCTTCGTAGCATTGCTTGCGTTTCGTGGAATCATCGTGGGGGCGACATCGAGCTTAGGCGAAGGGTACTAAGAAAGTCGATTGGTGGATTTGTGAACCTTCGTCGATGGAGACGGCTTGGGTGTGTACTGCACGTGCTAAGCCACTGTCTACCTCGACGTGAAGTACTGGGGAATTCGGATTAATTTCGAAGAGGGTTTACGGTAGCCAGACCAGACCAGAGGTGGCACTAGACGATGAAGTCTATGACTGTTGGTCTGAGTCGTGTGGGGCGATGTAGACTGTCCGTCTAGGGTCTCCTAGATGAAACGAATCATTTGTTGAAGACTCTTAGTGACATGGCTGGAAATCGATTACAATGTATTTACTCCCTGACACGTTTTAAAGCTTAAATTTTCGCACTAGCCGTTATCTTCAGGTTGTTTATGCTATTACACCACTCTTTTGACACCACTTTTTTCTATCCGCTTGACCTTTGTATGCTGCTGTGAAGTGTGGTAACTTGAGCCGATGCACCAGTGTGTGAGGTTTTACGTTGATTTTACCAGTCAGTCAGTATTCATCATTAAACATTCCCCTTAAGATTGGTCAGCAATACCGTAAAACTATTCGTACACTCATAGTCTTCTATCTTGCACTTTATGATTTATTAATTTGGGATAAAGTGACAGAAACTGCTTCAGAATTACAGCACTGCATGTATGTAAACTGAAATGAATCGAGATCTCTGTGAATAGTTTGTGATTAGAAACCGAATACATATATTCAATGACTAACGAGGTTCACCAAGATATTCCACTAAGCAGAAAAAACTAAACGAATTAAGAAACTACAGTTTGAAAACTAGATACATGAATTCCACTGAATCAAACAACAATTCACTTGATAATGCAATACAACCAATGATTGTGCAAACTGAACAACTTACCATAAGTTGTTGCAACGTTGGACCATAAGAGTATTGTAAGCATCCTTCAGGACCGCTTTTAGCCTTCTGAAGTCTAGTACCATCACTGCAAAAATTTTTTGAAACCTGAAAAACAAAAACCATACCGTGAAAGAATGGAAAACATAAAATGATTATGAATACTCTTAAGACGACTGTTAACTTAGCTATGATTAAATTTGGAAATCTGGTTGCTAGAACATCTTCGGACTAAAATAATATTTTTATCTTGAAAAATGAAAACCATTTCACCCCCACTTACGGTTACTGAAATCATTTGGATCGGAACCGTCAGTCTGAAATGCAACTGATATGAATCGAGGATACCACTAAATACACGAGATAATAACCCAATATTGTACAGGCTTCAATCTAATCACGCTTAGATGTGAGGAGATATTAGTTTTTGAAATACTGAAAAAACCAAAACTGTCACTTGAAATACAGTATGACGATGACGTAAAATAATGGTAAGTTGCCCGTTCAAAGTACTTTATTTAACATTTCTCCAAGTATAAAGCCGTTGAGTAGGTTCTTACAAGGCAGAAGTATGACTTGTACATCAACAAAAACGTTCAACAAAACAATAAGAGGTAAAGTGGCTGAACCATGCAATGCATTTGCGCAACACATTTCGAACAACCTGATCACACACGTACTTGTCATAGGTATTCATATAGAAATTCATAAAGATAAGGGGGTGTTTCGCAAAAACATTATGCATTTCAGACAATTTACGTGATTTCATCTTGTTGAAATTTACAAAGGCAACTATATGTTTTAAATAAAAACATTGTTTTGGATCTAACAATTTTGATATGGAGCCCACTAACAAATTCTTTTTTTGCGAACGGTCTAAAATAATAAAACCAGAATTGCGTAAAAAACGATGGTATGCTCTTCCACTCTCATCTTGAGAATGCCCTTTATTAGCATTGATACCGTGCAATTTCACACCTTACTGGAATGATATGCAATTATTCAAACTTCAGAGTTTTGCGTTTAATAATATTTTCAATTGTTCGAGCTTCAACTTTCGTTCCTACCTCGTGTCAGTCATTACGTCGGGATGTTACAAATAAATTTCCCTTAAAACTTTATCAAATTCCTTATGGATGCGTTTGTGTAAATCCCTATGACATTAAAACTGCTAACTTCAAATACCATATCTTAGTCGACTTTCTAATGGCTGGAAATAAAAATGTTTATCAAGTGATGTGATTAAGACACTGTGATAACCTTTAAATTCAGGCAGACAAATAAAATCAACGTAGAGCCAAGCTTGAAAGTGCACCGATTGAAGCTACGCAACAATTGGATAGAGAAAATGATACCAAACTACTCAAAAGTGTATCGCAGGGACGGAGAAAGTGCCCTTGAGAAAGTAGACCGATCATTTAAAAGCTGTAGGTTCGCAAATTTAAGTCCGCTGATACATCTATAACGAAGCTAAGCCGGAACGAAAAAACAGAGCGACCCCACCCCCACCCCCACCCCACACACACACACACACTACCAAACACCACTGCTTGTCTCCGATTCACATGGCAACTCACCAAAGGCTCTTACACTGCTATATGTGTTCGAGTAGAGGGCTTCGGTTAGCATGTCACACTTGCTCACCCTAGTACTCCCTTCAGTCATACACTCCAACATCTCTCGGTTGATAGAGTCAAACCCCATCTTCAGGTCATCAAATATACCAACTGTCGACCTCCACCTGTAAAAGTATATCTGTGTTCCATAACCTGATGAGGCATAAACCTCTGATCCTTTCACCCCTATCCATATCCCAAACCTGAATGGCTTTACCGAGTTCGTTGTTCTTGAGTCACAGTTAGGCCTAGGATAACTATGGTCCCTAGGATTCTGGACACCATGTTAGTCAAACTAATTCCCCTATGGTTGTCAGTGGAAGACTTCTCTTCTTTCTTATAAGCTAGAACGATCAGTGTAGTAGACCAATCTGATGGGAATAACTCTGATCCCCACAAGGCATCTCGTGCTTTAGTTACTCTACTCAACCATTTAGTAGCTACTTCCATAAAACTTTACAGTGGCAAACCATCAGGTCCTGCTGCCTCGCATACTTTCAGGTTTGTCACAGCCTTTTCAACTCCAGGGAGAGTTGGAGAACTGACATCTACGTCCCATTCAGGCTAGGAGTGGATCTGGACCGACAGCTGCAACTTTAACGTGGTGGTTGGGCTTGTATATATCAATGCCCCAACAAACTACGTTGGTGAGACCTTTGTTGCCTTGAGGTCCTACCATAATAGGAGGGTGTGTTGGATAGTGGTAAGAAAAGCAGTTACCGTTGTAGTGTAAATTACTACACAACGACGGGGGTCCGAGGACGAAGTCATACTACTGGCTGACATGGGTATATGAAAGTAGGAAGAAATTCAAAGTGAAACTTATTGAAAATATTCAACCTTCTCTTCTTACAGACTGGGATGATCAGTGAACTAAACCAGTCTGACGGGACAACTGATTCCTACACACTACAATCAGCAATTTCCTACCTCCATCCTTGAAACCTTCAGGTGGTAAACAGTCAGGTCCTGCTGCATTTTATCGTTTCAGGTTTGATGAAACTTTCTCAACTTCAAGGAGAGTTGGAGGATCAACATATACGTGCTGTTGACGTTCAGGGTGGATGTCCAGCAACTGTAGTGTTGCGGGAACCGGTTGAACTGTGATTGAAAGTGTTCTTCCTGATGTTCCAGCCGCTCGCCCTTAGAGTTTATCGCCATGGTCTTCTTTTTGCCGGTATCCTTGATAACCCTGAGAAGTCATATAATTTACGATGTTTTCTGAGACCGGTAGGGTGGAAATATACACGAGTCCGTACTACTACTTAATCGGAGTTCGAACTCCAGAAAGAGGGGCAATCCTCCACCGGTCCTCTCCAGAGATGGCTTACAGCAATGTGATCTACCTGTGTTCATCGATGGATTAAAGTCGACGGACGCCATGTGAGTATCTTCTTATACCTAAAGTTGGTGCTCGCCAGAAACAACTGGTTGGCATGAAATTGCAACAGGTGATTACCGTTGTCAGTTCGTTGGCATGGGATTTCGTAAATACCGTCAAGATGCCTGTTAGTTTGTTTTCTCAGAGCAATATTTTTCAACCTATTTCATGGTCACATTGTATCTTGATAAGCCACAGACCATTACAAACCAAAAAACTTATTCGACCTATTCAGGTTATTAGTCTGTACATAATGACCATGGCTGATTGGCTAAGGTGTTCAAATCTCAAATGGATATCGGGTTTAAGTAAAGTTAAACGTACTTTAAGGTATGCATAAGCATTCGCAAAATACGTCCGGTTCATAACCCGCAAGACAAACCTGTACATGGTTGAGTAGCATCCATTCACACAATGAGTTCCAGAAATTTCTACATCTAATAAACAGATCGAGCTTAGGAAACATGATTAGTACGCCTCGTGTTCTCATACGTATACTAACCCTACGTGATAAGCTTTTTAAGCCTTAGATTTTACTTTTAATGTGAAGATGCAAAAATATAACGAGTCCTTTTGTCTTACTGTTGCTGAAGTAAGCCTGATTTACAATGCCATGTTAGACTTCAGCACAGATGAAAATTCCAACGTCATAGATGCTTGCGTGATACGACTAGACGTATATACTCGACTTGCCTGACTACGATAAACGATAAACAGATGATAACACTGATTTGATGCAGAGTATATGAGACGCTCTGAGGCCACAGGGAGACCTAAAACGCTACTCCTTTTCCAATACCATAGACGTCTTACAAAAGTGAACTCAACATTCAAACAGTAAACCAACACATGAAAAACATGAAACAATCGAAACAAACGACGAAGAATGCTCATGGGTAGACTCTGGTTTTGACTGAATTCAAAGGATGCTTTTGTACACCGGTACTCCAAAAACAGCATTCATCTAAGTAATGAAGTGTCCCAGAAGGAAGGAAATCGATTCAAACAACCATAACGCTAACCTTGCTACTCCATAACACTAGGACCTGGTACAGATCAGTGAGTCAGAACGTGTTACATACGAGATTGTCAGCTAAACTTAGTGAATAGGACTTCATTGTATGATCTGGATGTCCCTATAGTGGTCAGAGTAATATCTAAAACCTCGACGCATCGCCAGGAGTCGACTTCTTAAACTTATCACGGAAGTGGTCAGAAATTTTTTCTCTCTACGATCTACATAACCACAAACTGTTCAAGCTAATGAAGCGATAGCTGTTTTGGTGTTACTTTAGTAAAAATGAGTCCCACAGAACCGAAAAATTGAAACCTTATTATGGCTATAGATGTTTATGAAAACTGCGGCACAATACAAGGACTTTAATCCCGAATAATCATTAAACCAAAAGGAACTATAACAATTAGTAAGTGGAATCGCCTTTCACATGTACCGAATTGACTACACACCAAGCGAAAGCTAAAAACCTAACTTCTAGAATATTAAACACCTCGAGTGTTTCAAAATTTCATGCAAATATCAACAGATACTCTAAAAAGGTCACTAATGACATTCCACATATTAACTAACCTCAACTACCATTTTACGAGACTGTTGGCGAGAAGCACGCTGATCGGTCGCTGCGATGAAAGACAGCCCTGAGACCGTTATACAATGAAATGATACACTAAAATAAGGATTTAAACTACATATCGTCCACTAACTTACTCTCCTTGGCTGAAGCATATATCTTGCTCTGGAGGGATTCGTCGTAAGTAATCAGCAACTACATTTTCAAAACTCCTATTAGCGATGGAGTGATGGCAAACAATGTTTTTTTCATTGGCAATTGCGAAGTAATATATGCTCATTGTACGCACTTGACGTAAAGACGACAAAATCAAAACATTTCAAAATGCGTCCTAAACGCAATTGCCCGCTGTTAGTTTCGGGAACTAATTGGTACACCATAACAAAGTTTTACTTTCAATAACAAGGGTACTAAACCAATCTGGTTGGTAAGAATACCTGTGTAGAACACTTAGATGAACATCAATTTTCATACTGAATTCGTTCATCTTAGACACCTGTACTACTTATGTAAGGAGTTCCAGTCCGTGAATTCTTTGTGCGATCTTTAACTTCAAACTTCATGTTGTAGGAGTTAAGAACAACCGTTTCTTGGAGTCTGCGTCCGTCTTAATGGAACTTATTTTATGTACGGAGTGGTCGGTTGTTTGTCTAGCTCGAAGAGAGCTGGGAGGATAGAAGTAAACAAACTAGTATTTAATTAGTATGCTATAAGTAGTGCTGCTATACATGGTTTTTAAGACTATGAATCGCCTCTTGAGCACTTTACATCAAATCTCCTTTCGAAAGCATCACAGGGGAGGCCGTGAAAACCTCCTCTGGAAGGCGGGCTTTTGGAAAAGGGAGTGGCTTTTCACGCTCGGTTAGATTCTTGGCATTTTATGTTTGCACATCAAAGGCTATTGTCAGTCCATGATGAATACCAGCTTGAAAAAATATTGTATTTTCGCTCTTATCAGAATATTATTCAATTGAAGTGAGACAGGAACCTTTACTGGATGAACTTCTCCAACGTTTGCGACATGGTGAAACAAAAGTATCGTAAAAATGCTTTTGGTAGGGCCGCGTACTACATTCTAGTGGCCTCTGGTATGCAGTGTACTGAATGTAAAGGTTAGTTCCAGAAGATTGCACGAGTCTTACGCCCTCAGCATATGAGAGGTACATTATAGCAGGGAGTGTCTGGCTTTGCATGTTGTGCCGCTCGGAAATTAGCTGGCCGGTATCAGTACTTCCGAATAAGGTAATGAAGAAACTAGAGTCCAAAGATGAGTCGACGCAGCATACGTTGATACATTATTACGCGGATCACCATTAGAAATTTTCGGAAAGTCTCACGACCGCGTGTTTGTCGGGCGTATAGACTACCAAAAAAATGCTGATAGAGACTGGGAAAAATCCACGCAGACCAGGGTGAAGCGAGTGTCTTCAGATTCTTGCGTTCCTAGAGCCGGCAGACCAGGTCTGGGAGATGCTGCCGTAGGACTAGGTTTACTTAAGATGAAAGAGACAGGAGTGAAGTACTCTCACTGCCAACCACAGAACAATGCAGGCTGCGGGTCGTTATCGGCCAGGCAACCCGATCATTCAAGAAAATTAGGCAGGATGGGATGCTGGTTCATTCTTAGGTGTCAATGAGGCTGGACTAGACCTTGGTAAGCCTTACATACCCGACTCTGAGAAATGGCAAGTGGTCAAGCCTAAATAGAAAACTAAGAACCTAGTAGCGGTCATCGAACCGTCATCACTCCGCAGAGCAAAGATAAGGTAGGGCTCCTTGATAGGTTGGCAATCTTTCGTGAATGGAGGAGAGTATAGACCCAGAACCATGTAAACGTTTCGAATATGACTTTTGCAAAGCACAAAGTTCGATAAACCAGCTTTTACCGGAAAACATATCAGATGTTAGCCTGCTGAAGACATATAGAGTAGGCAAAAAAGACTGGCTGTACTGAAAACAACTTTCGGTTACTTAAGGTCGCGTTCACGTCAACACGTGAGAGGGGTCGAATTCTGTAGAACGTTTACAAACCTCAATGATCTTGAGTGTTCGTGCCTAAGGATTTGGTTCCCGCTGATCGAATGAAGGGACGTGAGGCAGAAGAACTAAGATACAGATTAGCAACAGGAGAGCAAGATCTGAAAATAGTGGGTTTTTGTGCAGTGAGGTGTCGGCAACAGGTGATGCTGAAACCTATATGGATAGGACGGTAACTCATCTAAGTAGGTTGATTGTCTTGTACACAAATACACTTGGTCTCTTAAACGAGTGAGCCGAGTTTAGTGATGTCATAAGCAAAGAAAGTCCTGACATCACTGCTACCTTAGAAACTTGGCTCCCTTCTTGGACCAGTGACTGTGGGACACATTAGGATTCGTCCCTTTTAGAAATGACAGGTTACTACGCAAATGTGGGCAGTGTGTTGGACATATGAAGTGCTGCATTGCCAACTAAAATGTAAGGGACAAGATGCCTAACCCAATAGCAATATATCGAAGCCCGAAATGTGAGTCAGCAGACTTCCTCCTGAATAAGCTAACTCTCTGGACAGATAAGTGCCGACGCCTAGTTGTGGGAGACTTCAGCGCATCATCAGTAGATTGGAATAGACTAACAACAGAAGTATCACGTAACTCGTCTGACGACGGGTTAGTGAAAACTTAAATTTATACATTTACACATTTATACATTAGGACACCGACTAGATAGGATAATCAGCATGCTCCATCAGTTCTAGACTCAGTGTTTTCACACCCAGATGACGTGTGCTTCATCCGGCACCCTGCACCCCTTGATAAAAGTGATCACGCTATGATCATGTTCGAATTCACAGCAGGCGTCTCGCACTAGGCCGATGCCACTGCTAGGTGCAGTATATGGAGAGCAAATACGGAAGCTATTCATCTGGCAGGCTCTTCGGAGGACTGGACAGTCAATCCAGAAGCCTTAGTTGAAGCTGCATGGTGCTCCATCAAACAGCTGTATGCACGAGTGGCTCAACCGTTCATTCTACGGGCGAACGGAAACATCGTCATTCATGGATAAACGATGAAATGCGAATCTTGCTGCGACGTAAGAAAGCGCGTTGGAGACTCGCCACCCACCTCGGTACACTCGAAGTGATGAGGCATTACAAAGATGCCCGAAATTTATGTGTCATTGCCATCTGCCAGTCCTGAATATGTTTTGAAACACGTCTTGGTCAGGCTACATTGCAACGTCCATACAGGAAATTTTCTTACGTGAACTATAGGAATAGGAGGTATTGTGATACGCCAGCCCTAATCAAAGGGACAGAATCTGACTGTTTGATTGAAGATGATAATGAAAAAGCAGAGGCTGCGACTGGATGTTTTGCTAAGGTCTTAAAACAGGAATCTTCTGTGGACACTTATTCAACAGTAGAAGCATTGACGTCCAGCAGAATAAACTCTGTGTGTATTGATCGCAATGATGTATTTCGGATATTAAGTAGTCTCAACGTGGGAAAATAAACGGGACCGGATGAGCTGCACCCAAGGCTGCTCCGACAGCTTGCGCAATATGCAGTTGGTGCATTGACTGCTATATTAAGACCGTCACCCAGTGAATGCACACTCCTCTATGACTGGAAGGGTGTCATAGTTATACCTATATGCAGGATAGGTTTAAGGCAGTACCCGTCAAATTACAGACCAGTAAGTTTGGCTAGTACTACAGTAAAGGATCAATTCTCAACTCTCCTCTTGGAAGTTGGTAGAGAGTGGAGTGTCGCAAGGCACATTCCTAGGTCCCCTGCTGTTTCTCTTTTACGTAAATGAGCTGCCGAATATCAGGAAATCCCCTATGGTCCCCTACGCTGATGATGTAAGAATCTGGCGGGAAGTTACTAAGGAAGAGAATATAGGTGCACTTCAAGCAGACCTAAACAACTCGTCTACTGGTCAGAAAAGTGGCTTATGCCTATCAACGCAGGTAGACGTGTGAGCATGCACTTGGGATAGACACACACCTATGATACTGATGGGACTCCTCTGCTGTCAGCACTGTCCCGCGTTGACCTAGAAGTCACAGTGAATTGTGAGTTGAAAATCGATTGGTAGCACCTGGGAGTTTTAGGACATTGGACGCCAGGTACAACCTTTACTAAAATAAGTGGTGACATGTTCACCACAGTTGAAAAACCGTAACTTTAAAGCTAGCGTGGTTCATCGGATCCCGCGACTGGTCGGAAAAGGTGACCCTTAAGAGCAAGACAGTAATCGATTAGGATGAAAGTAGTTGCGGATGATATGAAACGCCTGCGATCCTACTGTATGGCACTCGCTGCAGCTAAGCAGCCAGGCGCCGTAGATTACGTTTGTGCTGTAACCAAGCCACTTTTTCCGCAGCTTGTCTTTGAACCCGTTCTACGGTGGCAACTTCGGTCCTCAAGTTTAGGTAGGTGGCTGCAGAGCTTTTCCTGGGTGAGGACGAATACATAACTAGAATGCTGCAGTGAAGAGGCCCGGAGCTAAATCCCTGAGAGTTCAAGGTAGCTTAGTACACATTTTTGGCCCCAAAAATACCACTAGGTTAAAAATAAGTAAACGTTTGCATCCAATACTTAAATAATGGATATGGCGTCTGCGGGTGAATGATCCCGCGAGTCCATCGTAATGTAAAGGCGTCCTCCCGTCGACCTTCGCCCCTTTCAGTGAGCTGGATATCAACCTACTTTTGGGTGCCTATTCGGAACGTTGTGAAGCTATGTCCAACGTTTGCCGTGGACGTCCACATTTTTATGCATCGCTTGCTAGCTCTGATCATACAACTTGTTTTTTGTCTATTCTCCTCAGAAATGGTTGATAACCAAGACCCTTCGGTGGAAATGACCGTTTCTAAGCAACTTCCTACTGCCCGGGCACGAAGACTACCTGCCTCGTTTGCCCAAGTAGAGGTTTAGCAGCCACTGACCGAGTTGTCTCACAAGAAACCAACCCCAACTTATTTGCATTCAGTCTTCCGGAAAACATTATGAAGGGGCTTTGGGTATGCTGATGACTCTGTTCTAAATCACTTCAACCACCTTAAACCAGCCCTCATATAACGTGTTGCTTTGAAGGGCCAACAAAAGGTATGAGAACGACTCCATGATGTCCGGCTGCGCAAATGTAAGTCACTGTGGGTGTTGAGCCAGATGTTACAGCTCGTTTCAGATCTAAAGTTCGAAGATGCCTGTCATGAAAACTTGTGGCCCCAAAGTCTTTCATCACTCTGAAAGATGTGACTGTCCCCAGAAAATCAGGCATGACATGTACG